ACGAAAATTCATCTCGTCTGACGGTTACTCAAGAGTTTTCGAAACGTCTTAGAAATGTAATCGAAAAACTTAAATTCATTTTAAGATCATTTTATATACTAGATTTTTATCTTGTAAACACTATATAATTTTTACATCAGAAAAACGACTTATATTAATAATAAAAATAGCGTTATGTGTTACTTATAAATGTTTTATGTTTATTAATTTTGTGTCGCCGTACGAATATATTCAGAAAAAATATAGCATAAGAGCTTCATATTTTAATTCAAAAAGTGTAAAATAACAATGAATTATGGAAATATATAGTTTAAGCCTTAGAATATAATAGAAAAAATCTTTTGGTATGTAATATTTGTTACGAAAATTTACAAAAAAATATATAATATTTTGATGCATTTCGTATTGATATAAAAATTCAAAATATATTAACTAGCATTCAACTAAATGTAAGAAATATATTCTTATAAATAATTTTCATTACATTCATAGATTAAATCCTGTATCTTAACTTCTATTACAAATAAAGGTAATTGTGTTAGAGGTACGCGTCATTAAGTATTCCCTGTTAGTAATAATGTCGCGGTTCGACGATTCTCGTTTAGCGGTGATTTGATTACGATATGCTAACCGAGATTATTATTACAAATACAAATGATAATTTAGATATTTCAAATAAAATCAAGTCTCAAAGTCAACTAAATTACCAACTTCCCTCATCAAATACTGTTCAATACGAAAAAAATTGAAAGCATTCTGTGAAATGGTTTTACGAGCGTGGGATTTGTGCGTGAACGGTTTTTCTATATATTATTTTTTCTTCCTGAACAACACCGCTGAAATAAATCCGTAATGACGGACCGCATATTTTATAAATAAAGATTTTTATATATATATTTTATTTATAGTAGTATAAAAATTATCCAACTTACCAAACGGGTCGGACGAGGGCCGACATTGCTATAACAAAAATCGATCCCTCATAACGCACAAAGATTTAAAAAAAACACGATTTCACAGAATTTTTAGGGAAAAAAATAGCACTACACAGTAACGCAGTAAGTTAAAGTTCGTAGAGCGTAGCACTGTAGCGCGGCTACGGCTGTAGCGCGTCTACGGGAAAAGTTTCGGTCCGTAGCTCGTAGACGGATGGACGAGAGTCGTAGCGGCGCGGGTACTCGCGGGGCGCTATTCGCGGACTATGCGGAGGCCGAGTGCAGGACTAGCTGGAGGCCGCGGGGCTGCGCGCGCACGCCGCGCCCACCACCGACCCGCCCCACACACCCGCAACCTATTTATTTCTAGTTACGTAAAATTTACGCGGAATAGCCGATATATACCTGCATTTAGAATTACGTTATGTACTAGCATTTCATGATACCAATCTATTATATGAATCTTGCGTTATATGCTTTAAAATTCTCTAGCTTGTTTTAATCATTGAAGTGAACATTGAAGAGAACCATATAGGCCATGCGTTAAAAGTATATTCCAAATGTGTGCATATATACGGAGAGTGATGAAAGACTGTGTTTTATTAAAAGCCAATCAATGTTTTTCCATGAGGTCACTTCGACAGCCCCTGGCAGGTGAGGCGTCAACTGAAAAAATAAGTCGCCGCCGGTCGTCGGGGGCGACGTCAAATTTGGCAGACGATTTTTTTCGACCACAGTCGCCGTATCAGTGTCACTTAAACAAATTGAATAATGGATTAGAGGGAGTCCGAACAACTGATATTTAATCTAACGCCTTTGATTGTGAATTATTCGTTTATTAGTCTGTTTCCTACACTATCGCCGTCCGTATAATTGGAAGGAAATTGCATAAGTGTGGAACAGTAGAGGTAGAGCAATCGATGTAGAAACTCCAACTATCGTGAAATAATACAAAAGTTCGATAAACTCTGTCGTCACAATCAGCTGTTCGAGCCGCGAGCGCAACAGACAATGCGATTAAGATCTACGCAGGACAACTTTCACCGCGCGAAGCGGCAGTTAGTTGTTATGAAAGAGAGAAATTTGTAAATTGTTGGCGCCCGAGTTCACGAACTCCGTCGAACTGGAGTTTGTTTTAAGAGTCCAACCTTGAAACAAGAACAAAAGTAGTCCTGTAAAACAAAGTTTTGCGGCGGCCGTCGCCGGCGCAAGCGGTTCAAGGATTGTGACTCAACTGTACAACTTTACCGATTAAAAGCTCAAAATCTTCTAAAGTCATTTTAAAAGTTTATCTGCAGGCGGCGAGGGGGTCGGCGCGGGCGGGGTGTAGGCTCCGTTATCATCCGCGGTCCCACTTTGTTGAAGCTAGTTTAAATTATTTATAAATCCGTCGCGGTCCTCGCCCGTCACCGTACTTCAGTATTAAACTGTCAAAGTTGTGAAGCGACGCCGCGACGACTTCGCCGGCTCCGCGCCTCCGGAGGACATGTGTTCGGGCCCGAATAGTTGCGAACGTACACACTAAGTTCCTAGACCCTTCGCTACTTTGTTTTACAGCTGTTCCACTTAGCGAACTATGCCTAGAGTTGGGCGCGAGTTCTTGCATGTGTATCGGCGCACACACCCGCATCCAAATAGTTTCATAAACATAACCCAACTTAGTTTTGGACGACTTTTCAAAGTCAATGCATACTAACTTTCGATGTCTGGAAGTGCGATATTACGATTGGATCAGTTTGCGGGTGACTTTAATGCATTCGTTTGTTCGAAACTTTGTTTTATTGGATCAAACTTCCCAACAAGGTTAAGTATCTTCATTTACTTTGTTTGAACGTTGTAGCCTGACTAACTTTTCGGATTATTGTGTTCATAAATTTTACAATGAGGCCTTTGACCTGAGTTATAGTTTGTGTATGCTCGAACATATCGACGACTATTGTTATTAAAAAAAAATATACCTTCGATTATTTTGAAAATGTATTTATTTTTAAATTCTTACAGGGAATATGTAATAAAAAACAGTGTCTTAAATTATTAATATGTTTTTATCTAAATACGTTAAAGTTATTTTTAATTCCTTGAACAATCAAAAACTTTTTAATTGAGAGATGAAGTTAACATGAAATATTTCGTTATATTAATTATATGATATAATCCAAAAAGTTACTGATCTTATAATCTGTTCTAGAAATGATTTGTCTATTTTGGTTTATACCTGTTATTTGAAGAATAACATTATATGACTACGTTAAATACTTACTTACTATGTAACTAGACCATTTCTAGAGTCGAAACTTCAATTTTTCTGTTTTTAAGTACAATAAAGTAAAGCACTTATGTTTATATACTTTTGTAAGAAAAAATTAATGTTATATAGCCGGTAAGAAATGTTACTAAAAGTCATAAGCTTCGTTTAATTATTCTTATTTTTTTTAAATTACAGTATGGTTGAGTTAATTCATCATTTAATTTTCATTCCTCATTATCAAATAAACAACAGGGATTGAAAAGACTATCAAGCCAGTCTAGATTCGAATCTGTAACCTCCGGAATATATTTCTTCATTTGTTTTAAAATTAAGTCCTCATGGTTTGAATTGAGTCTGTTACTGAGGATTCTATTAATTGTCATATCGAGCAAGAGGTGTCATCTATTATGTAATTTAGTAACTATATAAGAAAAATTTAAGAGATTTTACCAACTATATGAAATAATGTTTGTTATGTGTGTACGTTGTACATTTACTACACTTAAGCAAAGTAAAGCTAATAACTTGAATTGATAATGAAATTCAAATTGAATATACACAATAGAAAAATCATCTACACCAGCAGATTATGGCAAAACTGTATTTATTAACCTGACTGTATATAAACTTTACATTTTATTACAGATACAACCTTAAACTAAAATATTTTTCATAAAATTGTTATATATATTTACAAGTTTAATGTTCGAAGCAGCCAAATTTGATGCTATTGGCAGCATGAGTGCCAAAAACTTTTAAACTAATTCGAAAAATTGTATATTTCTCTGTAGTGTAAACAGTATTTTTATGTCCTGTGTCACAGGGGTCGTAAAATAAGGCACGGTCGTAGTCATAATCAGTGTAATTACAGAAATCTCTTTCGGGGAGTCACGATCAAGCTGTGGAAGATAAAGTTCGTACCCTCGCGGCAGACGCTACCATTATTTCAAGACCTCTCATATTGATAATCCAAGAAACAAAAGTCTTGAGATGTGTGGATAAATAGTATAGTTATTAATGTCATTTCTATTGATAATTTTGTTTAAAAAGTATTCAAAATTTATCAAATATTATTGAGAAAAATAATAATATTATTTAACAAAAATATATCGCAATAATGTTTGTTTTAAGTATCGCGTAAAACAGAATTGAAAATGGTGTTCTGACATTAATTTTTAAAATAGGACACTAGTTCTTTCAGAATTATTCGTCAAATGAGTTTAATAATAGAATTAACTTCACATATTATTCGATTTATTAAAAATACTATTAATATCTAAGGTCAATGTAATCTGGTAGAATAACGTGTTATCTGTTCGGCAATAAGTCACGCAGTAATTACAACGGCTGGATCACGTTCCCCGCACGTATTTGCAAGTACACATAAATAATATAAATATGGCAGCAGACAATTGCCGAGCTTTACGAGTTATGCTGGAGGCGTCAAGAATTACGCGTGTCTTATTTAAATGATGTAGTACGGAAATCATTTGAATTATTCTGCTTTTATTTCATTGTAGGAAATTTTTGGTTGGTGGTTGGTGGTAAGAAATATGGCATTCATCGGTGCAATTGGATTTTTTTTTCGAGTAATTTTGCGATAAATTTTTTGAGTAACTCTTCTATGATATTGTTTGAGATAGATTTTTTATAGTTATTTTTAAATATTGTGGTTGTGGCTTGAAATCGTTAAACATTTTGGTCTGTGGATAACTTTCGTAATTTTAAATTATTGTTGAATTTTTTATGGTATTTCAAATATCGTGGTTGTGGAATAAGTATGAATCGTTATTTTTGATTCGAAATACAGTACTTACGATTTTGACGTTGATGGTCGGAAAAGCTTGTGAGTTATTTGTATTTCTTCATGATCCTGTAACAATGAAAAAATATATATAAAAGATGAGACAGAAAATTTTAAATACATTATGCATTTTGAAATGAGTCTTTTGTTAAGATTATACTATATCAGTTATTTTCTCTTAATTATGTATAAGGTATAATAACAGTTACTTATGTAACGTAAGGATTCCAAGCATTAACTACAAGGTGTTTCAACAAAAGTTATTTTTCCACTTAGAATTGTGAAATAAAGCTTGTTGACTATTTTATGTGAAAATAACGTGTTTGGAGACTGTTACGAAATGAGATTTTAATTGATGTTGCGCAGTCAACTCTTTAAGTACTGATCGCAAGTAACGGAAAAAAACTTCAAATATTTCCCAACACTTTGAAACTGCTAATATTTATTGTTGTGAAATCTTTTTCATATTATTTATTTATAGCTCAATTTAACTTTGCTCAGACGTTACGCCAATATTAAGAATTATGTAATATTTTTGTTTATTTGTTTACAAATTTTTATGTATTTTGTACATGTGTAGAATACGCAAGCTAAAATATTATTAGGAAAGTATTAACGAACATTTACATAGGGATGCATTCTCATGTACTTACATAGTTATTTGTGACATACATAGTTACAGGTGTTTTACAAATGGGGGCGGTCCCTAAATTTGATTTTAATATTGAGCACGTAATACCCTGTTTGCTTACGACCAGTAATTGATACGGCACTCTTATTATTCCTCTAATGTCTGTAATTATTTTCGAATTCATCGACTCTGGCTTAAAGCTATGGATTATTTAAGGTTACTAATGTTACAGAATTAATTTACGGTTCGGTGTTCACGCTAAGGATTCATGTTTTATAATTCAATATTCGGTAACCGTTGTTTATAACGCTATTAATGAATAGAGCTGAGATTATATATGAATATTTTTTAATTTTATTTTTACGAGCAAATTGCATTAACTTGATTTGACAATATAGATTGTTTAATTGTGTTCATCTTTATGTTTTGTCGAAGGTCGATTAATATATGTGTAATATATAATGCATAAGTAAAAATAATTAAATATATATATTCTTGATGAATATACATTCTCAAAATAACAAATACATTTGAAAAAATCATAACAAGTATCGGCAGTAAGCAAAACGATAATCATAATTTATTGAATATAATTCAAATAAAATATTGCCAACGAAAACAAACGAGTTTAATATGAGGGCGTTTTAAGAACATCTCACACGTTGCACCCTCACTGAGATTATGTCGGTGCCATCAAATATGCATAAAGGCCGTAAAATGCCACGCTCAACCGCCCCCGACGCCTCCGTTGTCACCTGACAGCCACTCAGCCAGCCACAATTGTCTCCAGACAGATGCTCAGACGCCACTAATTAAAAATTGCCAACCGTAAATTTACATGATCGCTAATATCACGTCTTGGTTTAGTTCAGACTTGTCAATGTACGAAAATATACTCAATAGAATTTTAAGATATTTTTTATTCAATAATATATATTTTCATATTAAACCATTGATTTGTGATCAAGAAATTGTTAAATAATGAAGAAATATTATCTATATTCAGTAATGTATACTACCATTGGTTACCAGCTGTTCATAATTTATAGTGTCATTAAACTTACATCAACAATTTCGTTAAATCTAGTTTTCATTTTATCACGAGCAGACATTACTATGTTATGTATATCGAAATGAACACAGAATACTTATGACTTCGCGACGAAATCTACAATCCCATTATAGCAATCATCTTCCCGTTCATTACGCGACGTTAAGATAGTAAATTTAAATTAACAGCCCCTTGTTAGTTTAACTATACATGACTATATGTTCGTTTCCATTGCACCCCGATATAGTTACTTCCAAAAATCTTTTAGATTTTATTTTACAATAAAATTACTAGCTTTAATCAATGCATTTTATTTTATAGGTATTCATAAAAAAATCAGTTACCGTAAGTTAGAAGAAAAAAATAAATATTCCGACTTAGATTATTATAATGGAAACAGATCCTGTTGCAGCGGAATGAATGCTCATTTCCTAAGCGAAAATCATTGAATAAGGTATTGTGTTCGTGACAACCTTATGGAGCAGTTTAAATTCGAATGTATGTTTAATAAAACTATACGAGAACTTGCAGTTTATGTAAGATATTATATAAATAACTGAATAGATTAAATGTAATTGGTCTAATAACTGTTTTAAAAATGTAAATTCCATATTTTCTGTTCTAGATAGCCGACGACTCAATTTAGTTGTCTCCGTGTTCGTATCTTTAATGAACACTCATAAACGTTGTGAGATACTTAACGTATTGTGGCTTAGACTTTGCTTTGTTAAGATGAAATGAGCTGAGCGCTCTTCGCGGGATTGGAGTTTTGTACGCGGTTTTGTTTTGTTTCTTTTGTTTAAAATAGTTTCTGTATTGTACTCATGGATACATTTAATTAATTTATTCTATCACTATATTATATTAATGATAGATATTTCTGATTATATCCATCGTATTATTTATATTATTCCGGTTTGACGCTTTTTTTTAATTTAACATTTTGCTAGTAAAATTAGTCTTTAAATAATGAAGTTTTAAACTATTATATTTATGGAGTTTGAAAAAATTAATGAGCTACATTTTATGCTAGAAGAAAACGAAATCTATAGTCAATCCAAATAGTTTATTATTACGTAAAAATTAAAATTACTGTTTAAATATAAGGAGTAATAAAATGTATCTCCCCATAGTCGTTACCATTCAAACTATGCCAAAGATATTTTTATATTCTCTCGTAAAACAAGGCAGGCCTGGGGAGATGCTAATACAGGGCGGTTCCATACAAATTGATACTCGATCGTCGCTCATATAAAACACTCTGAACGAGATCGTACTATGAATAATAAAGAACTAGACACGGCGTCAACACATCGACGCGTGATGGCTTGCATCGACGAATATCAGATTTAAATTTCTTTATATATTGTTATAAACTTTCCATAATGGCATTCAATTTATTAATATTATTTTTTTCTTTTAAAATGCCATATTATATTCCGTACATAAAAACAATTTGATGACGATGAAACTACACATTATTTTAGGTACACCTATTTACATGTACTTATAATTATGTATATGTAATACATTACGTAATTAGTTCGTAAGATAACCTATTTTTGTTTTCGTAGCCAAAATTAAAAATATTAGGGGAACCTAATACTTCATATAAAACTTACAGAACCTAATTTATTATTATATATTTTGTCTAAAGAAGCGGCACTTCAGCGATTTAGTCACCTTTATTCAAAGCACGTATGTAATAAAACATAACTCCGATTTTTATGGTGACTTGTGTCCCTATGTTTTTCACGTCTTCTCATTTGACTAAACATCACCCTTGTTATAAGAATATCGTAAAATAAACAAAAATGGTTACAAAGTGTAATAATTTTAATACTATATATATGATCATCACGATATTTTATTTTAGTTAAATTAACAAAGTATTTTTCTTCATTAATACTCCTACGTAAATCAAGTGAATACTATCGGAGTTAATATAATATATACGTCTATATAAGATTTCAGTCTCATATCAAACAACATTTATGCCTTGTTAAGTCAAATTGCCATTAACGTAAGCGCTCGCTCATAAATATCAGTTGGAATTAAATCACTCCATGTCGAATTATCCGTACACGATCGACGATTAACCTATTAAGGTACGTTTGTAATCATGAAAGTAAGGATAGTAAGTAAATTTAATAACTATGTGTATTATTATTAATATTTGACGTCATACTCGTACGGATGATATTAAAAAAACAAATAATATTGAATCCATACTTGCAAAGTATCTTGATGTTTTTATTTGTTTGAATAAAATCTCATTAAATTTTTGTTTCTAGCTGTATACATAAAAATTATAAGAAATAAACAGACATATATTTTAATCCATAAATGTGATATATAGAAAAAAATATGTAAGTATGTAATCCTATTTGTATAACTGTTTGCTAACAAAGGTAATTTGAATTTGTAACGGTGGAACTATATTGTTGAATCTGCGGTAGTGTGTGAACGGTTGTGTAGTGTTTACCTGCGGAATCCACACAGACAATTAGCTCTTTATGCGATTAAACTCAACATCCGCAGGTGTCATGCCAACGTTCATTGCGTGAATGTTCACTGACGCGTCACTTGTTACACGAATTGTTAATTTGCTTGCGATTAATCGTTTTGTGTTTACATTTGTACTAACGATTGACTGATTTAAAGTTTATTGTTTTGAATTTAGGCTTACATTTGTTTGTGATCCAACTTTGTTTGTCAATTGATTGCTTTTTTTTTGTGTAAAATTTCAATGGGATCTTTTGTTATTTTGTAAGCAGGGTATAGTTGAAAGTAAAATACGGTTATGACTGTCGTTGAATAAGGAACATCAAATGTGCATTCAAGAGTATAGGAAGACGAGTGTCGAGAGACGCTCCGAGGAAATGAGCACAAAGCGTTGGCTTCGAGGTGTCTCGGCGGTCCAAAGATGATATAAAACAGATACTACAGACCTAGAATGTGTTACATACTTAGTGTTAGGTGTTACATACTTAGTTTTTATAACAATGTGGGTTTTGATTAAAACTTTGAATGGTTTCTTGATATGGTTTTTTAATATATTTTCATTTTTTAAAGTTTTGTATGATTCTGTTTCGTCTTGTGAACTATTATAGTTGGTATATTATACGTATATTTTTATATCAATCAATCTTTAAACAGAGTACGTAACAGAGGAAACCTCTGAATTTTTCTACTCTATGTCCGTTACCTTAAACGTAGCAAGGAGTCTGATTTAACAAACGGGTGCATCGGCCTTCAGCACCAGGCAGCATAAAGATATTGGGCATGCATTGTCGCGGCAGCATTGTGTGAGAGAAGCACCTGCGATAACATAGTCCGCAACCAGCCGCTTTGTCTACCTAATTGTTATATTCCTAACAAAGACTCAGTAGAAACAAACCACGTCGAAGCTTGTTAGCTCTCAGGCTAAACGCCCCATGTAATAACATGTCTTCAAACAATTGTTCGATCCTTCAAATGAGCCAACAAATTGGTTATACGATTGCAATCGATCGCCATTGTTAAACGGCCTCCGTTCCAGCTAGTTCAAATCTAATCGTTCACCGAGCATGATTGACGGACGGCCAATAAAACTGCTGAATAAAAAAATAAGCGAAATTCCATCGCAATAATGAAACTGGGGATCGGTGCGTCGATATAGCGCTAATGATCTTCATTTTCAAATTTCCATCGGTTCGACGTTCATTCGTTTTAAAACGTTCAAGTTGAGCGACGTCAGTTCCTCAGTCCCCCGGCGTTCTATGGCATCAATCATTTTTAGAGGGTTTCGCTTTACCAAGTTTCCTTCCTGCCTTCCTCGGCCTCAACTTTTACATCGAATGATCTCAGTTAAACCAACACAGCGATCGGCGTCTCCTAACCGCGTTTTGTGTTATTTTTTTTTGTGAATAAATAATATTATTTCTCAGGGAAAAGGGGATTGGATTTCGCTAAATATGGTTTAGTAATTGAATTGAAATCTCTCAATGTCGGCGTTCAATTAAGATTCAGATTCATGCTTGATGAGGGCATTTTCCTTTGTTATATTATAATTCGATTCGTTTTAAATACTGATTTCAGCAATGTTTTTGTTAAACCCTTCATTTCATTCACCGTAACTAGCTTACAAATCCATAAAAGTGGAACTCTAGTCTTATTTAGTTAATATACAAGGTTTTGAATATATCTTTTTGAAAATCATTTTGTATTTTTAAATTTTTTTTAGACGTATTGTATAACAATTAGGAAAATGATAATAATATATAGACGTGTAAATGTATAAGTATTTACAACATATCCATTACAGCGGCTGTCAAAAGTGATTAATGTTAATGTCGGACGCAAGATTTTTAACTAAGTTAAGATTAAAATGGCTTACGGTATTATAATCCTGGGCTGGTATCCGTCATCCCTCGGCAAATTACAATGACACATCTGTAGGGAGATTTTAAGCCAATCTTAAAAATACCTTAGGCGAGGCCTCGTTACACAACTTTTAAATATATTCTTAAACGTGCTAGTGACACTTTTAATATACTAATTATATAGGTATTCATAAAATTTGTTCAATTTTATGGCAAAATTTAATCCTATTGAGATCAGAAACGACATAACGAAGTAAAATTTAAAGTAATATCGACCGCTGTACGTAATACGCCATTTGTATTTTGTATTACCTCTAACAACACCCGGAATTTAAACAATATAGATTTTGTCTCCAATGGGAAACAATTTGCGGGGAAAATTGGAACTAACAAACGCAATATGAGCAATGGGGGCCGGTTTTTATATTTTTACGCGCGGGGGAGATTGTAGACTGATCTTTGTTTTATGAGAACGATTAAGAAAAGCATATTTGAAGTGTGTACTCAGGTTTTTATTTGCGCCCCGAGAGGGAAGCAACGCTTCATTGATCTGTAATCGTTTTTCATATTTATTGCTGCTTTATTTATTCGAGGGTTATGAGTATGTCGGGGATGAAGTTATTACGCTGTACTAAATCTTATAACATTATTTTTGTCGTAACAATTATGTTCGATGACT